TTTTAAAGAGGAATTTAATAAAAAAATTCTAAAACACGATTTAGACTGTAAATAAGCACCCTCTAAGAATAACTTTGTTTTTCAAAATTTTTCCTTCCACTTCAGCACTGGTTCTGCCATCTATGATTGGTATCTAAACCTTTTTTCTAGTCTATTTTCTCTATAAAACAGCGTCTGGGCATGTTAAACCTCAGTTGTAAAACTTTTAGCCAATCCTAGTCAAAGGTGTCAATTTCAGTACCATGTTATTCCAATCACTGTATTTCACGTTTGACAAATCATAGGATGATAAGGAAAGCACGTGACGAAACGTTGTACTCTGGATTTTACAATATGAGTGTGGGTGGTGCTTATTATAGTAACTGCCATTTTATGTAGAGGTTGTATTTAGTACTGGCCAATAGTGCTTTTCTATAAGCATTAGAAAAGTTGCTTCTGGAAAAAACTGCATGAGACGTACATGACTTTTATTATTTTTATATAGTAGCTTAAGTCATGCTGTATCGTATATCGATTTATACTAATCATTATATTGAAAAATTAACTCAAAATAGATATATTTTTTAGGAACGAAGTTGATCCACAATTGTTAGGGTTAAGGGCTATCGAGTGGCAAGTGCAAGGTCTTTACATGAATTAGGCTTAGCACTTTGAACTGAAAGAGTTTGTGATTTTTTATATTCTTTTGCATTTAAATTAGTAGTTTTAAGTTTAATAAGTAAGCATAATTTTATATTTAGTTCATAATAAGAATATGATTCAGTATTTAGAATGATAAACTTGTGTGATTTGTACATACTATTAGTAGTAGTAGTACTACTACCATGCAAGAATTTTGTATTTTTTCTACTTACTATCTTTATGTTTTAGTAAGACCCACACTTCCGTTGTTATTGATTTAGAATTAAAACAGTCTAACTGATATATATATAGTTTATTCTGATATTTTGCAAATGGTTTAAAACTCAGTGTATGTTGAATATGAAACAGACTAAATACAATCATCTCAATAAATCAGGGAAGCTATGATATTCTCACAGTTGGGGTATCAATACACTGAAGAGCTTAAGTTTTGAATTCCAACATAACTCTTGCCTATAATGAGAGGAATGTGACCAGGACTAATCTTTTAAGTGCTGTAAAGTAACTTTCTTTGTAATTTATTGTGTCTGTAACATTTGGTAATCTCATCTAAGAGGATGTATCAAGTAACTAGTGTCAGGCGGTGTTATTGAAACCATCTATACTGTAAACTGTTACATACATTCGCTAGTAGTGACAATTAGTTTTGTCTCTATACTCTATAGTGAAACAACATACACGGACATATGTTGAAATAAACTTGTTTGAAAGTTCAAAGAAATGATATTCAAGTACCGAAAAGCTTTCTTACTATCATATCTACGGTAATGTTCAAATGCGCTCGCGCTGGGCTGAACTAGAGTGACCACCAACAGGGATGAGATAGTTTACGGAAAATGTACAAAGTTCATGCTGCTAACCCCACGGTTTATTCAGCACAATAAACAAAAATACGGCTGCAATGAAACATAAACATAAACTTGAAATAAAAGTACATTTATGAAACAAAGTTAAAATGTTTTTATGTACATATATAAACATGAAATCCTAGTTAAAAATAAAAATACTAATTTATTGTTTAGGTTTATTTACAAATATTATTTTCTTGTATATTACTTGAAACCATAAGGAGAGTACGTGATTATTAAAAAAATTAAAAATATACAAAATTTGCACTTTATGGATGATACAAATTTTGTTTTTATTTCAAAATAATGTACTAAAACATAAAAAGTAGTAAGTTCAAGTCTGGAACAAATATAAATATCTGAATCATTTCTTATAAAT